CGGACTTTCCTTTCACTTCCAGGCACATCCACAGCTGAGCGTCCTTTCGGCTTTGGCCCAACAACTTCATTAGCTGTGGAGCTATTTGCACTTGTCCTCCGCTCTTCCTCAGTAGAATGTTGGATGCCTTCTTTTATCCTTTTGTTTCTGGTCATGGGGTTTTCTTGGCATAGATACTGGAGTGGCTTGCCAAAGACTGCTCCTGGTGGATTGCTTTTAGTCTGAACTCTCCACTATGACCTGCCCGTCTTGGGTGGCCCTGCACGGCATAGCCCATAGCTTCTTTGAGTTACTCAAGCCCCTTCGCCATGGCAAGGCAGCAATAGTTTTTTAAAATAGTGTAAACTAGTCTAAGTCTCTACCTTATTTTATATGTCATAGGACTGGTAGCCCAGAACATTTACTTGACTCTTCTACTTTCAGATGCAAAACAGTTCTATACAAACAACAAGATTCTACACATGCTGCTTCAAACAAAATCTAAGTATCTAGGTTTCATGCTTTTGGAGCCATGGCTCTTATACATCGTTAGCATAAATAGCTTACAACATCAACGGTACTGAAGACATGGCAATAGTGGTGGCTAGTCTGCAAGTCCTTGGTGATATAGGCAAATGTACAGAGATCCTCTGGGTCCTGGGCAGCACAAGAGATGTTACGGATTTCATGCTCAGCAATAACATTCTGCCAAATATAACCAAACAATGGATTTTTCTCATTATTAAACAGTACAGATTGTGCAGTAACAATATTCACAATAAAATAAAGTTTCATTTTGCTCATCTATAATTTCACAATAGTCATTCATTACTACCAAGTGGCTCCAGATGTTTCTATTAATCTTCTGCTAAATTGTAGGAATTATCCTGTAAGCTTAAATGGTCATTTAAGCCATGAGTAGGCAATTTGTAACTTTCTCCATGCCGTTGATTTGCAACTCTTCCCATCCTTTAATATTAGCTACATGGCTAGAGAAGGGTTGCAGAATCTCCTGTCTTTTCTGTTAGCAGCCACAGCACAGTCTGAATAGAAACAAACCTAGTGAACTGAAACAGAGGGAAACCACTCTTTCATATGCCCTATGGTGGCAATCTTTATATTACTTACCAATGTACTTTCTACAATAAGGAGTGAGAAGCTGCAAAGTAGATGAATGCCCAATTACATCTGCTATGTCACTATCACTTGTCATTCTAAAAATACTAGCCATGTGCTTGCTTTCTCTTACCTTGTTAGATGCATCTATAAACTTCACCCCTTTGTAAGTGATAGATAAAATTATAGTTGGGATCTTCTTCATATGTTCTGTAGATTTCTTTAAAAAAGAAAAAAAATGCATAAAGCGACATAGATAAAATTGTTCTTCTCATAAATGGGGCATATGTAGCCAAGAGTTATAATCTCCCATATTACACCATGTTTTTAAAAACTTATTTAAATATTATTTTGCACAGTTATAAAGAAAGGGAGGGAGGGAGGAAAGAAGAAAGGCATTAAAAAAAAACTGGCAGAAGCAAAGTATTAAATAAAAATCTGCCAACTCTTCTGAACTACTTCACGTTTGCTAAAAAGAAATCTGCTGAACAGCTCAGTCAGTACCATGTAACTGTAGGATAATTATGCAATTGAAAACCTTTTATAGTTTGTCTGTAGTATGGCCTGTGCTCTAAGCCACTGGTTCTTAACCTTTGTTACTTGGATGTTTTTGAACTGCAACTCCCAGAAACCCCAGCCAGCACAGTTGGTGGTGAAGGCTTCTGGGAGTTGCAGTCCAAAACTCCTGAGTAACCCAAGGTTAAGAACCACTGCTCTAAGCAAAGTCCCAAACTGAAGTTATGCAATACAGTTTATTTTTTCAGGAAACTTAACAGTTCCAGTTAGTGGATTTCTTTCATAAAATGCATACTTACCCTCATCTTTGCACAGGCATCCTGTGTAGATTCTGTCCCTCGAAGATCTTTGATTAACATTGATCCTAAATACTGATTAAAACAGAAAAGCAGTAACAATTGTTAGCACAGCTATTTGTATACAGTGTTCTCCAAACACAGAGAAAATGCACTTTCAGAATAATTGTAATTGCCCTTGAAAATCTGTTGCTCTAGCTCAGTGATGGCTAACCTTTTTGAGCCTGAGTGCCCAAATGGCGACACAAAACCAAATTATTTCTTTCGAAGTGCCAACATTGCAATTAAATCTAAATACTAATGTTTTAGTTTAGAAAAAACAACTCATACAGTTGTCTGAATTAATCATCACCTTTTGTCTTCAAAACATAACAGAACTTTCAATGATACAAACACTTTTTAATTGAAAAATAACCATTAACTCTAGTAAATGGAAACAAATATTAAAGTAATACAAGTCAGGTAATTTATACAAACTTTTAAAATAATTATATGCATGTATTTTTAATAAGTGATACTCAACTTGTCATGCTTTTGCACAATGTGATTTTTGATGTTGTATGCATGCTGATAATTTGTCAAACCTTGGCCCATATGCTGTTAGTTTGAGAGCAACACATGCAGCACCCATACAACCCAGATGGTGTGGTTGCTGACCTTGAGCCAGACATCCTGGAGAGTGAAGTCAAGTGGGCCTTAGAAAGCATGGCTAACAATAAGGCCCGTGGAGGTGATGGCATTCCAGTTGAATTATTTAAAATCTTAAAAGATGACTGCTAAGGTGCTACACTCGATATACCAGCAAGTTTGGAAAACTCAGCAGTGGCCAGAGGACTGGAAAAGATCAGTCTACATCCCAATCCCAAAGAAGGGCTTTCTTGGGCTCCGTGATCATTGCAGATAGCATAACATAACAATTTCTTAAACTAAGATCATGGCCACTGGTCCCATCACCTCCTGGCAAACAGAAGGGGAAAATATGGAGACAGTGACA